CGGGGGGGTGGAGGGGGATGGCGTGGCGTGGAGGAGCACCCCTGGGGTCTAAATACCATATTATAAAACGATAAAAAAGCGGCGGTGCCATAAAACAGTACGTTATATACCGATAGTTTTTATACTCAGTAGTATCTGCGAGGGGGGAAGCTGTATCCGCGTTGGCGGGAGTAGGTAGATAGACAATGTCATTAAAAAAAAAAAAAAACAAAATAAAACGGGCGCTGGTCATCGATCCTTACAAAATATCAGCACTCCCTATTACCCCCTCTCCGCCCACCCCCCCTCACCCTAAGCTGGACCCAGTAATAGGTGTAGGCCGCCTCTCCGGAAGGCGCACTCTGCCGCCGTTCCCCGAATGCCTCTCTAGGGTTGCCACTCAGTCGGCGGGGGTACCCCCCGCACACGCACGGCCGCACCCACCTGCCCTTCGCCGGCACCCGCGAGCACGGGAAGCCGGAGAGCTCTGCTCAGGAAGATCCCTCGCAGCCGGGAAAGAAAGCCCCCTGAGTCCTGGCGCTCCTTTCCTAGAAAGGACGGAGGTTCACGCGGAATAATCCTATTAATACGTTAAAACACCCTTAGCATTTTAAAGGGAAGGAAGTGTGATAGATGCACGCCAGGCTTTAAAAACAAGCAGGTGTTTTGTGTACATTTGGAGTTCCTGTTTTTGCTCATCTTTCACCACCCCACCCTCCACACACTAACATCTCTTCCCCACCAGCTGTAAAAGAACCTCTGCGCTAAATATTCCTTTTTCTTTTTTTTAAAGAACTCCCCCAAATAAGTTTTGCCTTCCTTTAGGCCTGTTTCATTATCTTTTAAAACACAGACCCTGATTCTCTAGGAAGTCAGAAGGGTCTGCTCGGTGGTGAGCCAAGTGAACCAGGGTGGGAAGGGGGGGCAGGGGGTGGGGGGACGGTGGCCAAGGAGCTGACGTGGAACCGCAGAGTTATCTGTCAGTGACTCAAAGCTGTCCTGGCTGCTACAGGAGGCTTTCCGCAAACAGAATGGTCTTTCAGAGTTGAGTTTACTCTTCAGTATTTTGTAATGTTTAGCTTTTTATTAAAAGACGTTATTTTTCGAAGAGGAAGAGGAGAGGATGCAGTTGCTCACGTCGCAACCTATTCTGAAGTGGTTTGAATGGTATCCCTTAGTAACTTGCACTTGTTTAAACAGACGCGGAGTTGGGCCATTGTCAGAACTAAGTCAGGGAAGTGCATGGGTGAGGAAGGCCAGAATCATTCTTAGTACATCGGCTGGCACTTTAGGAAACTGACCGTGAATCAATGGACTCATCTTCATTATATAAATACGTACATAGAGAGAGTGAGCCTCTATTCCCACCCTGCATTATTTAATCCATCCTGTTCCCAAGTTTTTATAATCTTGCTGTAAAAAAAAAAAAAGAATGTGCACTGAATCTTAAAACATACAAACAAACAAACAAAAAAAGAGAAAAGTCCAAAATGCTTTGTCCTATATTCTGTTAGATCACAGAAGTGGAGGAAAGCATTAAACTAGTCAGTTTTCATTGGAAATGCTGTAAAGATTTGAATGAAGTCCTGTGAGGCCTTCCTCTCTCCAAGTCTATGTATTTTCTGGAGACCAAACCAGATACCAGATAATCACAAAGAAAGCTTTTTTAATAAGGCTTAAACCAAGACCTTGTCTAGATATTTTTAGTTTGTTGCCAAGGTAGCACTGTGAGAAATCTCACTTGAATGTTATGTAAGGGGTGAGACACAACAGTCTGACTATGAGTGAAGAAAATATCTGGGTCTTTTAGTCAGTTTGGTGCATTTGCTGCTGCTGTTGCTACTGTTTGCCTCAAACGCTGTGTTTAAACAACGTTAAACTCTTAGCCTACAAGGTGGCTCTTATGTACATAGTTGTTAATATATTCAATTAATGATGTCTGACATGCTATTTTTGTAGGGAGAAAATATGTGCTAATGATATTTTGAGTTAAAAGATCTTTTGGGGAGGATTTGCTGAAAAGTTGCACTTTTGTTACAATGCTTATGCTTGGTACAAGCTTATGCTGTCTTAAATTATTTTAAAAAAATAAATACTGTCTGCAAGAAACCAGCTGGTTTAGAAAAATTTAGTATGTGAAGATAAACTACAAGTTACCTTGATATTCTAGTATTTTCAGCACTCCATAAATTCTATTACGTAAATATTGCCACACTATTTTGTGATCTTAAAATTCTTACCAAGGAATAAAAACTTTAATATGCAATATGAGATTGTCTAATAATTAAAAAGACATAATGGATGCTCGATTAATTTTAAAATGTCTATGAATACAGGGGTGAAAGTCATCCCGTTTCTCAAATATACAACTTTGTCACTGGCATGATATCACACGTTTCCAATCTCTTGCGAGCCTACAGGCTCTGGCTGTGTTTACCTGCTTGTTCCCAATGTATCTTAATGAAAAGTGCAAAAGAAACAACTACCAATAACTTGTGTGGTTTGTTTATGTTAGACCCAACTCGCTAATGTTTTTGTGATGGGTGAATTTTTCACTTCTCATCTTTGACACTAGATAGCCGCTGTTGTAAAGATCTGGTCTGTCTCCCTTTCACTGGGACCTGTATAAATATGCTACCACTTAGGGGTGCATTCCTCAGTGTATGTGAGCTCCTTAACCTTTATAAACTAATTCTCTTGTGGGACTTCATCATGGAATTCAAATAAGTCATTTCTAGATTTTTCTCAATTTAAAATCAAAATTGTGATCTGATACCAACTGTGTGACGGATTGTCAATTTTCAGTTTCAATAATGTTCTTCACCAACCCCTTGATTTTTGAAAGGTGTTGAAATAATAGTCAAAATTTATGAGAGGTAGAAAGAGTGCTCCCTCTGCTGACTTTATGACAACAGAACTGCAAGTCATAGAAAGTGGAGCCAGAAGGAACCTCAGAGATGAGTTTGTCCAGCCCCCTGCATTTTATAATATGAGGGAAATGAAGCCCAGAGATAGCAAGTAGCTCCCAAAGTCACACACTGACCTGGAGCCAGCATCAGGGGCCAGATACGTTGTATGCCCTTGTCAGCAAGCCCACCGCTGGATGCATCTTGAACCAAATAAATTGAATTTGGGCAGTATTCATGAAATGTCGTGAATAACCTACAGGAACAGATGAAATAAAAATTAGAAATCCAGGATGATAAAATGTTCCGGCATTTGTATAACTTTCATATAATAAAAAACCTTAGGGTTGGACCAGATATTCTAGGGTTAGTTTAGTCCAAATGTATATATACCTGCAATGGTGAAATTTTAGCCAAGTTTCTTTATAGTATGTGGGATTTTTCAATTTAAGACAAGTACGAATCTTGAGTCAACAGTCCTTCTCACATACAGTATTACACCAATCAAGTTTACATACATATATTTCTCAGCAAACTTTATAATGAAATAAGTGGCCTTTTCCCCCAGAAGAGCTAAGCATATTTTTAAGGCACTAGAAACTATAATTCAGTAGCTATTTAAAGTATTTAGTTCCTATCATTGTGAAAACTATTTTTCATTTAGTTCTCTGCAGCTGGTGATGCAGGCCAAAACGTTGGTGACTGCCCATCCATCACCTGAGATTTGTTCATATGTATGTAAAAGAAGTCTCAACCTGTTTCTATGTCACAGGTCAATTCTGAACTTCTCGGTGGGAGGTGATTGGCAATTGAGGTTCTAGGAAGGCATGGCTGGGCAGACAAAGGCCTTTTACCTTATAGAAATGAACAGAGCCCTCGTGAATGAATTAAGACTATTTGAATGAATTAAGACCATTAGAATGCCAAAAGGCGGCTGTACTATTATGACAATAGTATTTTACTTCAGATTGCAATCTAATGTGTTTCATTAAAACAAAATCTGTTGGCCCCTCAGATCAATATATTTAGGCACATTCATTGTTTTGTGTTGTTTTAATGAAGTTCCAAATCATCATACAGTGCATGCTGAAGTCCAATGAAGGTTCCAGTTTTGCATAGAATTTAATAGGGAGCCAACACGGAAAATTATCACATATTTTCTGTGAGGAAAGTGGGATTTATACTAAAATCTATGTGCAGCATGTACTATAAAAATATGCTCTTAGGAGTTGGACAAATGGACATTGTCTTAAAATTAGGTTTCTTGCACTTGTTCAGTGATTCCACATTGAAAACTCCAAGCAAGTGTAAAACTATCCCTTTTTTAAAGTTGGTACTTAAAAATTCTCTTTTTAGGGATGCCTAATTTATCTGACCTCAGAGAACAATATGTGCCCATGAAACACTGGTTCAGACACTGAACTTTCTATGTTCAAGTGCCAACATTGTTTATTGTTTTTTTCTCCTTCTTATTGTAGTGGAAAGCCTACTGAAATATGTTACACATGTCCTGTAAGATATCTTACAGTATGTCTTAGGGAAAAAAATACCCTGTCCATAGTTAGCCTTTCTCAATAATTCAGGGTCATCATTATAAACATCACTTTTGTACTCTGGGTGTCGTCTGGGAGTATTGGCACCTGCATTAAATTCTTTTTTAGTTCTTCTATCTGCTTTTTATAGATTTTTCAGTCTCTACTCATGGTCAGGCTGCCAGCTGTCACTTCTTGATGTGTCAGAGAGCCTGCTTCTAACTCTTATCTAATTTGCCACTTACCCCTGACTTACTGAGGCCTGAGAAACCATTTAACCAAAACCACACCCATTTAAAATGTGTCTAAAATTAGAATAAATAGGCTCGAACAGAGTACCTGTTGGGCACTTCTCTAAATTGTGTGAGCTTGCAGAAACAGTGAAATGTTTTTCCTCCCAACCTTTTTTCATTTCTTTTAACTTTCACATTCTTAGCAATGTTCCATATCAGAAC